TTTAATTTATTAACCTGGGTAAATAAATTTCCAGTTGAGAGAGTTGATAGAGTTGCAGCAAATTTAGAGAAATATCAATGTTTCCCTAGTGTGCTATTAGTAAAATTTTATTATTTTCATTTGTGATTTCATATATTTATTGGATAAAATGTAATAGTGTTTTAAAATCACAAATTCTTTTTTAAGTGAGAAGGTATTTTCAAAACTGCCATGTCCTCTATTGGGTTGTTCTATAAGTTTTCTCTGCTTTATAAAGTTGTATGCTTTTTTTATTATTATTATTTAATTCAGATTGTTGGCGACATAGCTCATGTATTAAAGTCTTCTGTCACAGTTGACTCAGCAAGAACGAAGACATTGATACATTTTTGCATTATGGAATACACAATTTGGCAGTTCCTCGCCCACTGCCACCCAAATACAGATAAGTATGCATGCATAAACAACCCTCAAAATTAGTAAAACTAAAGTGAGTAATAAATTTGCGACCTTAAACTGTTTTAGGTTGGCATCAGATTACAATCAGCAAACATAAAGCCATTTTTACAAAGGTTTTACTATAAAAGATAAAAACGAGGTCAAAAAAAATTGCCAACCTCAGGCATTTTTATGTTTTTGCTTGGTTAGGGTTAGAGTTAGGTAAAATAATGTATTGAAATCAGTTAATAATTAAGTAAGGAATGTGTTTTTAGATACTTAAGTTAAACTCTTAATAAAGTACTTGCTGCAATTACTTTCAAAAGACTAAAACTGGACATATTGTTTTAGAAAAAGCTGTAAGTTTGAATGATTTTTTGAAAACACTGAAATATATGTATGTATATATATATATATATATATATATATATATATATATATATATATATATATATATATATATATATATATATATATATATATATATATATATCAGAGCTATAACCACCGAGAGGCCAGGGGGGCTTAGGCCCCCCTCCAAAAAATTATTAAACTACAATTATCAGAGAAAAACTTATATTATTTACAAACATTTTATCCCCTCCCTCCTTTAAAAGAACTATAGGCTATAGTTCTTGAAGTTAGGGGCTTTTCCCATGCTATGTTTGGGCCTCTCCCTAAAACGGGTACATAAAAAAAAGAAAGAAAAAAAAAGGACCTCAATATGTAATATGGGCCCCCTAGTATTAAAATTGTGGTTACGGCTCTAATATATATATATATATATATATATATATATATATATATATATATATATATATATATATATATATATATAAATTTTGAGTTTGTAAAATTTATTTTCAGATTTAAAAAATCCTTAATTGTACGTAACAGACGATGGAGACGAAGTGATTATTATGTGTGGCAAAAGATTATTTTATAAAGTATTTCTTTATTTGACTTCGTGATAGAATTTATTGGAATACGTTTGTCATGGACATGGGAAGAGTATTGCCGCTACAAGCATGAACAATAATAAAACATTCCAAAGAACATTTTGTTATTTCAACGATTAGATTTTTTTTTTAAATGTATAAATGCTTTTTGAATATTCTTATTATATATCATCCTAATTTTAAAATAATGTTACATTTTTTCCATAGAAAAAGTACTTTTGTAATATTGTTTTATAGTTCAGGAGAAATATTATTGAAACAAAAAAATAGAATCTTATTTTAAATAAAAATAACATTAAAACAAGTAAAAAATGGTTTTTTTAAAGGAATATAAATTCTTGAAACAAGAAAAAAATACATAATTTTAAGAATATAAGTTCTTGAAATAAGAAAAAAAGTTCTTGTTTTAATAATAAAAATTCTTAAAACAAGAAAAAAAGTTCTTATACTAGGAATTAAAATTCTTAAAGCAAGATAAAAAAATCTTTTATTAAGAATAAAAATTCTTGAAACAAGAAAAAAAAATCTTATTTTAAGAATAAAAATTCTTGAAACAAGAAAAAATATTCTTACGTGGCGGAAAAGTCATTTTTTTCTTGTTTTAACACTTTTTTTGCTTAAAACAAGAATTTTGTATTTTGCTGTGTAGGTTTTTGTATTACTTGTAGAGACATAGGCAGGGCCGTCCCGAGGGGGGAGGGGGAGTAGGGGAGTGTCTAGACCAATTTGCCGACTAAATTTTTTTTAGTCGGTAAATTGGACGCTAAAGTCGGCAAAATTGGATTTTTAGTTGGCAGTCGGTAAATGTCGAAAAACGAAGACCTTTTTTTTTTTAGTTAGTGGGCAAAAAAATATTTTTGGCTCTAGTCGGCAAAAAAGAGACACGCCACCCTCCTACTAAAATCTCTTCGGGACGGCCCGAGGCATAGGTTTGCCTTACTTCAATTTTTTAAGTAATTTACGTAAAATTTTTGTTTTTGTCTTTAGAATTTTCTTATTTCTTTTGTAATAAATGGGCAGTTTAAATACTTTGCTTTTATTTCTTTTTCTTAAATTGGAAAACTCTTATTATATTGTATGATAAATAAATTTATAAAGTTAATGTATGCAGAGTTTGAATTTCCTAGGTTACGTTCTCGGTAGACCTTTTACCAGCTTGTTACCGATAGTCAGTCCTTAAATTTTTGAGTAGACTTTTCATCGATGATTATTGATGAGCTTGAAGATCACCTTCTTTGGAAACTGTACAGTTTGTTCTAATAAATACAATCTAATCTAATTTGTTGCTATTTTTAATTTCAACACACGTATTACGTGCGTTAAATGGTATGAACGTAATAAACTAATTGTAACTATTGACATTTTAAACAATAAGAAAAATTATATTTTATTAAGCTGCTGTTAAAAACCACCAGATGGTGCGCTTGAAAATCTTGATTTTAGAGCTAAATATCGTTCACAAAGGTGGCAAAGAAAAGAAAATTAACTTTATAATTAGGGATTTTATTATAAATTGCTTAATTTATTGTAAAGATAAGAAAGTAAAAAATTTTTCTAATGAAATTTTTACAGCAGGAATCAATCGGAAATCAATTTGTTAGTAACAGAATCAACAATGCTGATTGATAAAACTCTTACAACAGATACTTATAATAACGAAATACAAAGAGATATTTGTAGTAACGAAATACAAATAAATATTAATAATGACAAAATACAAATAGGCATTATAAAAACCATATCGGACCATTTCCCTACTATCTAACAATAAACACAATATTATCTAATAATGCTAAAAAAAAAAGATATAATAAAAAAATAATAATAATAAAAAACACTGCATCCGCCCCTGACCTTAACTATGATGTTTATTATATTTTTTTAAATTGGGTTTATCAAAAATGGTACTATGTTTTAAAGTTACTTAAAAACTTGTATTATTGTATTGTATACACCACTTTAGATAAATAAATAAAAAGAACTGCGTAAAAAGGCTAGAATATATTTTGGAGTGTTGACTTGTTATGACCATTTGTTGAACTATGTATATTATAAGTGAATTATATAAAATATATAGTATAATATATATTTTTGTATAATTAAATTATATAGAATATATAATATATATTTTCTATGCTCTTTATTGATTTTGATTCTAGCAATCATGTAAAAACACTAGTATCACCGAGTGATCAATTAAAAACTTAACATAAATTTGAGACGCGTGCCCATTTTCTAAACATGCAGTTATCGAGTTTTTTTAAATTAAAAAAGACTCGAAAAGCACATTTTTTATCAAACCATAATTTTGATCAATAGTTAGTATTATAGCATCTACACTATTGCCTATATATAACACTACTATCTGTACTTTATCAAATACAGTCTGTACTATATAAAAAACTACTTTTTGTGCTATATCAACGACTGTACTTTATCAAATACTACTTACTGTACTATTTTAAGTACTACAGTCTGTACAATACCGATTACCAGAATTACAATTAAGTATGGTAAACACGATTACCATAATAAATTGTATTTATTACAATTAAGTATGGTAAATTCACTTAATGAAAAATAACTTCATTAAAACGTTCTCTAAATTAATTTAAATTTTATGTCACATATTCAGTTTTATGTAAAGTATTCAAAAATTTAGATTTAAGGTTTTATAACTTAAACAAGTCTCAAACTTACCAAAATTATTAAACAAGAAAGCCTAAGTATAACACACACACACACATGCACACACAAACATGCACACACACATACACACACACACACACACACGCACACACACACACACATGCACACACACACACACACACACACACACACAATTGTATAATTCACATGAGGCTTATAATATTACTATCCAAAGGGAGAATAGAAATACTAGTTTTCTTTTTATATACAAATGTTTTATATCGAACTTTTCCCATAGGCTATGATTATCTCGTTGGACATGTTTGATAAACTGATTATAACAAAGAAAAATATAAAAGTTTGATAATTTAAATCAGCGTTAAGAAAACTTAAATTCTAAAATTAAAGACGAAACAACAACAACTTTATTGTGTTTGTTTGTTAATTATTTGTACTTGTGCACTAAAGTTTTTTTTCAATTTGTAACATGTTAAAAATGTAATTTTAATTAATTAATTTTTGTTTGTGTTTTTGATTTTTAAAAGATCACATTTAAGAAAAGATTGAAAGAAGCTTCACCTCCGATCAAAATTGATATGAAATAAATCGATCTCGACGAAATAAACTTAACGGCATGTTGATTTCATGGGCTGCGACATATTGTTAAAATAAAAAAACGACGTTTCTTGTTTAAAAAACTTTATTTACATTTTAACAATGACATTTAATAAACTTTTAAACAACGCAACAAGCACTAATAATATGATTCGAGTTGTATGTATTTGAGATATTTACTGATAAAATGCCTCGCATTTTTTAGTAAATTTTAATAAAAGCTCTCCAGCGTTTTTTTTCCAATACCTGTCAAAAGGTATTCTCATCGTCTTTACACTTTATATTTGCCATTATTTTTCAATATGTATGCAATTACAATGAGTTATTAAACATTTTCTAAATATTAAAATAATTGTTATTTAAAATATTTCTATTGTCAAATAATCGCTCAAGTATCTTTTTTAAAGTACCTAGGATAGATGACAAGATAGCACAGCATAATAGCTGCGAATTTGCAAGCACATTATTGTTCTTAAATTTTAGTAAAAAAATTGCAAACCTGAACCACTCGTTATAATTTTCAAGATGAAATTGAAATTAATAAAAAGAAGATTATCAGCAGGAGATATATATAAAGAAGAAACCAAAAAAGAGTCTAATACTTTTAATAAAAAAGAAAGCTTAGAAAAACAGAGTTCCGAATCAGTAATATCGTCTCCAATAAGCTCTCCCGAAATGAAACCAAGATCGAGAGCTCAATCGTTAGACAACGTTGGAGCAAAAACTTTTTTTAAAAGCCCAAAGTTTTTACGACGAAAAAAAGACGATTGGAGTATATCAAATGCCAATTTAGTTTCTTCAACGTATACTGGAAATTTCGAACCCTTATATGCTACTTTAGAAAGAAAGCGCCGAGGAGAGTTAATTGATGATTACAGTGAAAGTAGAGCGTTAAAAAACGAACTTTCAAAAAATAACTTCATTATTGAAGTACAAGAACAAAAAATTTTGGAAGATGTTAAAGAAGAAGATCTAGATGCACTCAAGGAGTTTTTATCAGAGTTTGTAGGTTAGAATTTCATACTACTTTTTAACTTAACATTTCTATAATCAAAGTTAGTTAAAACTTTAATCTGTTTAGAGAAAACATAATAACTTTAATAATGGGTAATTACAATTTTACAACATATAATCGATGCAGGTTAAAGCTATTTAAGAATTCTATACAAGTATTAAACTTGGTGTCCTTTTCACTAAAAAAGTTTTCCTTGAACATAGACAACTATTACTACAAATTTTACACAATGTAGTAAATGAGCTATAAAACGTTACTTATATAATTTTTGTTTTAACTTTTTTGACACAGATAATATGCCTAGACATTGTATCTATATTTATTTTGCCTAATATTTATTTATATATAAAAAATAGTTTTGTATAAAAGTTTTTCTCTCTGATTATCAGCTCTATGCTTTAAATTTTACTTTATTTTATTATTGTTGCTTATTTCACTATTACTTTCTTTTTTAATATAACTCTTTTTTTTAATTGTTCTTTTTTTTATTTATTTGGTAAATTAAAACAATTGATGAAAGCTTATCATATAATCTTTGAAAGTATGCAAATATATTCAACATATCGGTTAATTGAAAATATGCAAGTTTGTTTAAAATATGTTAATTTATTTAAAATACACAAACGTGTAAATTTGTTCAAAATTAATTAATTAAAAACATGTAAATTTATATAAAATATGTAAATTTATTCAAAAAACTAATAAAATGCTCAGGAATAATCTTTTTTAAAATAACTGTATGGTTTATAATGTTTATTCTGCACGTTCAGGAAATTAATGAAATACTTGAAATTCAATGTTTCTTATTGTAATTTCATTATCCTATTAGATTCAATTTTAAACTTTTTTAAATCCAACCAGTGTTAAGTAACACTTCAGTAACACCAATCAGTGTTAAGTAACACTTGAATAAGTTTTATAATAATTTTTATAAAAGCAAATGGTTTACTATTTACTTGTGTGTTAACAAATTTTTGACCAGGGGGCTTTAGCCTCTAAAACTTTTTAAAAAATTAAAAAAATTTTAAATAGAAACACTCAAGATAAAAACTTTGAATAATGACATGGAAAGGGTTCTCCTGCTTTAAAATAGCCCAAGACCCTAAAAAGTCTTAATCCGCCATTGATACTACCTATACATGATAACAGAATTTTCTAGTGCCTAAACTTTTTTAGTAAATTTTGAATCGAGCATTGTGTTTTAAACATTTGCAACAAGTTTTTACCTTATATAAAATAAATGTTTTAGGTGCAAATCCTTTATGTGGCAGTAATTTGATACCAGATGTAATAAACAAAGTTCTTTTTAAAGTTTATTGTAAATATTAGTCAGATGTGCAAGTTTAACTTTTATTAGGCTTACATACGGGAAGTTATAAGCTTGAAATCTTGTTTTGTCGTTTTTTTCAACCGACAATTAGATTTAAATTCATGAGTTTTATTAGTATGCTAAAAAAGAACCCGGTGGGAAATCAGCTAACAAATAGCTAGCTATAATCGTAACGATAAAAACAGCAATTTGGACACGAGGATCGCCAGCTTTTTTAAGTTAGCGAAAAGCTATCGATATTTGTAAAGATAAAGACAACGATTTGACTAAAAGGAAAGCTGGCTTAATAAGCTAAAGACCCACGGACTATTCTAACTAGCATCATATAGTATTAAAATCGCTGTCTAAAAAATTTCGATATGTAGCTATCAACCAGCAATAAATTTGTAGATATTTTATAACTAGCTACAAAGTTACGATATGTAGCTAGCAACACATTGTTACAAAATTTTAATGTTTAAAGTTCAATTATTCTCATAATTATAATAAACTCAATTCTAAAAATCGATTTTTTTAAAAATGTTAAAGACATTAGGAAAAAATAAAATAAGAAAAAATCACTTAAAAATTGCTATAAAGATAGCTAGTCGCTAGCTCATTTCCCATCAGTAAAATTCTAATTTGTGCGTGTAAATTTATAATACCTCCATATCTTCATAATATCTTCAATGTTACCTCCAAAATGTATTTTGTCAATATTTCATTTTTATCATTAGTCGTAATTTTTTTTTGGTTTGTTTTTGTTTTGTTTTTGTGGCTTTAAATGTTTTTCTATTTTAATATCTTGATTTTTTATGATTCAACATTTTAATTGAGTAATTACTACCCAATTAAAAATAAAATTAAGTTCAACTTTTTTTTAAAAAGCACTTAAACTACTTCAAAGTGTTAAAAAAAGTTCCACTTGTCACATTAATTAAAAAATGTTCCACTTGTCACATTAATTAAAAGAAGTTCCACTTGTCACATTAATTGAAAAAAGTTCCACTTGTCACATTAATGACAATCAATCAATATATTTCACTCAAAAAAAGTACTGTTTGCAATATAGTAAAAACTATTATATTTTTGTGAAGGAACAATGGAAATAGTATTAAACTAATCCGAAGCAGAGACCTTGTAAAAATAATTAAAGTAATAAAAAACAGTCAAACAATAAACAGCAATTAAGGAAAAAATAAGGAAAATGAGAAATTAAACATCGAAGCGATCGAAAAGAGAAGACTTTTTTGTCAAGACAGGAGTATAAAGTTGAGTCGTCGGCAAAAAGAGCTCCTTTAGATGTAACGTTGTCGGGGAAGATTATTAATGTAGATAAGAAACAAAACAGAACCAAGGATAGAACCCAAAAGTTATTGGAAATAAAGAAGAGTGTTGGCCTTCGAGGATGAAATTAATAAAGCGGTTAGAAAGAAACGATTTGAAAAAAAAAAACTTAAAAACTTTCCCAGATACACCATATGAAACAATTTTATGGTAAAGACCAGCATGCCAAACTTTGTCAAAAACTTTAGATATGTCAAGAGCAATAGCCCTAGACTCTCCGTCTCCATTCAATGCACAATAAAATTTTTCAGTCACAGCAGTTAGCAAGTCAGCCGTAGAGCAAGAGGATCGAAAACCATATTGATTGTCGGACAGTAAGTTATTTGACACAAGATCGGATGTGAGAAATAATTTGACTCTGAAAACTGTATTGATTGTCTGACAGCAAGTTATTTGACTCAAGATGAGATGTGAGAAATTTGTTTATTGAAGACCTTGCTAAAAACAGAAAGAAGACTGATTGGACAATAATTGGAGGGGTTAGAATGTTTACCAGAGTTTTGAAAGTCGGGGCAACAGATGCCATTTTCGAGCAGTCAGGAAAACAAGACTCAGTTAATGCATTTATTAAATAGTTATGAGAGAATTGATAAGAGTTCTGGAGAACAATTTTGTAGGAAAATGACAGGAATGTTGTCTGGACCACAAGTCTTAGAAGAGTTTAATCAAGATATGACTTTAGCACCGGAAGCTAGAGTGAAGCTAGAGTAACAATGGGTTAATCTGTTTAATTGGAACAGAAGGAAGAGAATGGCCATAGAAGAAGAGAAGATTCGAGTGTTGAATTAGAAGAAAAGTATTTTGCAAATAGAATTTGCCTTTGGGATTTTTGGGAAAAGGAATAAGATCAGTCCCATGAATGAGAGATGGAATGTTAGACCTACCTTTGTTAACAACGCTGTTGAAGATTTTCGAAAAGTCTCCAAAGCCTAAATTCTGAGATAAGATACGAGACTTGGTGAAAATAATGAAGCTTTGCATCTGACAGCACCTTTTTACATAAATTTTTTGCTATAATAAATAGTCGTTTGTTCTCAAGAGAGTTGTTCTTTTAAAAAAGATGAAAAAAATGATTACAATTAGATATAGCAGCTGCACAAGAAAGTAAAAACCATGGAACCGACACAAGAGGTTACAAACTGACAAAACGGAATAAAAGCTTGCATTCGTGCCTGAATCCAGGAGGCTACGGAGAAGGCGCATTTTTCAGCTGAAAGGGAAAAGACATCAGCCCAAGGTCCGTCACGGAGAAAATCACAAAAAGAATCCCAGTCAGCTTTAGGGTAGCAGTAAGTAGTGCGATAATAGAGTGGGTCTAAAAAGGAAGTACGAGATGAAAGATTTAAAGAGATCATAGCACGGTCAGAACGACCTAAAGGAGAAAAAGGAGAAACTAAACATAAGCTAGGATCAGAGACCAGACAAAAATCAAGGAGTGTAGGTTTATGATTATGTTTGTCAGGAAAATGAGTCAGAAAGTTAACTATCTAAATAAGAGATTGAGAAATGCAGAAGTTATAAGATTTAGTGCCAACATGGTCAGTAGAGTTGAAGCCAAGCCATGCAGTGTCATGAGCATTTAAGTCACCAATAAAAACAATATTAGCAGAGGTGTACAGAGAGAGGACATGGTCACTTTGATTAAAAATTACATCCAAAAGAGTGCAGTCTTGGGAAGAAGGAAAACAATATAAAATAAATAGAAAGGTAATAGAGTAAAGAGTTGCTAAGCAGAATCACATAAAAGAATGGTCAAAGAATTCAAACCTGATTTCATGACAAATAAGTGAATTGATGCGGTTGTATATCCCCAAGTCAACCATGAGAATATTGGAGTCTTTGGGAATCAAAAAATAGTACCTATTAACACAAAAATAAGAAGAAGGAATAACAGAATTTAAATTATTCTCACTAAGATTAAGCAAGTCTAGTAAATTTTGCAAGAGGTAAGATTCAATTGATGGAGTGTTGTTTTGCAGACCACAAATATTAGTAAAAAATTTATTAAAACAGTTTGGTTGTGGAGATTTTTTATGTTTAATATTTTGGGTTACTTTTGGCATGATTTAAGTTCAAGAAGAACTTGACTAATTCATAGTTAGAGTACGACCTACTAAGCAATAAGCTATGCAATTTTCTCAGTACAGTCAATTAACCCTAATTCGTAACATAAGGCTCTTTATGTGACCTTGAAATTGCGCACCCAAAGCATTAAGGACACCATCCATGCACAATATAGCACAATTAATTCTCAGATATTATGCAGCTGTTGCTGGAATCAGTCTTTCTAATAGCTACCACAGAGTTTGGGAAATCTGACTACCAGCCGGCCTCAGAA